TTTGTGCGGGGGAAAATAAGACATCAACCAGGGGCTGAGGCCCTCAATCTCATGGTCACCAGCCTCTTGTTTGACTTCCTCAATGACAAGGAAATATCCTGTTTATGGGTCCAAATAGGTCATGAACTCTTTGAAGGCAGGAGTCTTATTCAGCTTTGCATCATTAACTCTGAGCAAAGTGCTTCATATACAGGGTTTCTGTTTATTCCACATTTCCAATTTGCTGAAGAGTCACAAATACCTAAGCATTTACCTTCAACCAAAGGGCAAGGGGAAGCCAAGAACAGGTCATTGCCCCTGGACCACTGCCCCGAGAGTTCTGCTGCATGGACATGTGTGTATGGAGTGATGATGATGGGGTAGGGGAGGATTCAAGGTCTGTGCAGAGATGACTAGGCTTAGTCCCTGTGCTCAAACACACATGAGATGTAGAGCAGCCTGCTACTCAATCCTGGGCCTTTGGAAGTTAGTGGTCCTATAGGGAGAAAGAAATGAGAGGTAAGGAAGTGAGGAGTGGGAAGAGAGAGAGGAGGGTGGGAGGAGGGAAAAGGAATGAGAGGAAGAAAGGAGAACTTTTTCATCTATATGAATGTAGGAAACTGGTTAAGTAAAGAGAGAACAGATTTTTTGCCTCTTTGGCCAAAATGTCTTTGGGGAAATGTAGAACAATGTATCTGGTCGAAAAGCCTCACACAGTACTGAGACCCTGGTGATCCAACTTGTCTTGATAGCTCCCTATGCCTGAAGAGCCCACCCTGCTCACCTGCTTTAGGGTCTTCACACTTTCATGGATGGGCCTGGGTAATCCAACCAAGGTATCTGTGTCCCTGTGAAATGCAAGACACATCAGATCATAAGCTTCGAAAGTATAGAGAACTACCGATAGTCCTTAAAGTCACATGGACCATGCCACCTTCAGCATCTGATATCCTGGATCTTACTTTACAAGTTTCCAGATCTCTCATCATTGCTAGCAGGACACACAAATAATGGTACACAGAAGTGTTCCTAAAAATTAGGATTTTTATATTGCCTTTTGAGGACTCATTTTGTCTGGGAATAGTAGGTTCCTACTTAAAAGAGCATGTAGCCCAATGACGCTTTTGACAGTGAAACACCAGTAACAATGCTTTCTCAGATTTTATAGAGGCCAGCGGGAAGGATTCATGAAGGTGGGGAGGTGGGGGAAGACTGGGTCTGTTCTGACCATATCTCTTCTTCACAGAATTCTGACCCATTAGAGCAGGAAGGGTCCCTAGGGACCATGTGATCCAACACTCCTATGAGGAAACTGAAGCCCAAGAGAGAAATGACTTATTGCTTAGGGCGCCGCACTGGCTAAAAGCAAAAAAGTTCTCCTAGGAAACTGGAAGGAAAAAATTTCATGGAAAGAGCCCAAAGTAGTCACTGGGAGTTGCTCATAGGTTGCATCATGACTACTGGGCAAAATCTCTCATTCCAAGCCACCCGCTCCTCTGGCCCCCTAAGAACCATTCTATAGCCATTCTGACCATCCAGTCACTTACTGCCCCAGAGTGAATCCGATGAACTTGTTCCTGCTTAGCTCCAAAAAGTGCTCAATGTCCTTCTGTCTGAGAGGATGGTGGAGATGAACCCAAGAGGAGGGAAGAAAAGCAAACCTTGAGAGAGAGAACCTTTGGGCTCCTACCCCTCCAACTGGAGCGCTGGAGCAGGGGCGGGAAGAGAGCAGCTAATAGAGGAAACTTCAAACCTGGAGTCCTGACTCCCGGCCCAGCTCTTTGAGCCTTGAATACATAGACCACTCCACCCTGGGTCTTTAGTGATTGAAACCACAAAGCTTGGGGTCCTTGGTTCTATCAAACCTACCTGACCTTTGGTGCCCAGGGAAGACCTTTAGGAAAAGCCACTCGCTCAGCAGAGAGAGGTGCCTGCGAGGGTGGAGGTGGCACCAGAGGGTCCTGCTCTAGCAGGTCTAACTCTCCATCCAAGGTTCGTTCTCCATCACCAGCAGACTCCTCTTCTTCCTCTGTGGTTGGTTCCTCAGTCTTAAAGAGATCTCTTTCATTGTAGATGTCCAGGCTGTCCTGCTTAGTCAGGAGTTGCTGGAGGGGTAGGGAAGGGGAGGAAGGTGTGAAAAGATCACACCCTGGGCATCCTTGTCTGAGGCCATCCTCTTCCCATGGGCTGCTGGACTTCAGGGAACATGGATTAAGAACCCAGCTCTTGTGAGAATATCCCCATCTCTCCTCAACTCTACTGTCCTCAGCAGGCCCAATCCCAGGACAAGCAGCTCTTGGAGAACCATGCCAATGGCCAGGGAACAGAGCATAGATAATCCCACAGTCATAGTTACTTAGCTTTCAGAATGCACCGATGCCTTTTTTTTTTTTTGGCCAGCATTTTTCTTCCTAATTATGCTCCACTTAGGTGAACATTCAATTAGTTTGCCTTTGTGAGCATACACCAGCTGGCTGGCTGAGGAAGAGGAAGACAGAAGCTTTCTGCTAGGCAGAGGGAAGTGAGTTTGGAATTTTAAATCTTGTCACAGAAAGAAAAAGATTGGACAGAAATAGGCCAAAAAGTTAACAGTCACTGCCTCTGGTTGTTAAGATTGTGGGTGATTTCTTTTCTCCCTCCGCATTTTATATTTGTTCCAAATTTTCTACAATGAGTAAGCATTACTTTATAAAATAAAAAATAAAGGTTAAAAAAAATCACACTGCAGATAATGTAGACTAGATAACTGTACTGGTCCTGACACCAGTAGCTGAACTCAGGTAGATGAGGCGTGAGTTCATGGAAGCATGGTCAGGTCCCAGGGCAATTTATCATTTTGACCTTTCCAGAGATGCAGACTCTACCTAGAACCCTAACCTGTCATCTCCCGAATGTAAGTCTCTGGTTCCAGGGCCAGACAAGAGCATGGCCCTTGCTGCTGAGAAAATGCAAAAGTGCCTCATCCCAGGCACATGGATTTTCTGAAAGCCCTGTTCACGTGCCCTGGATCCCAATCCCCAGGATTATACCCTAACATAATTCTTATTCAGGATAGTAAGGAACTCCAGGCATTAAGGTCCAGGCCAATGACTCTGTAGCAAGACAGGGATCTATAATATGATACCACAGTGTTACATCGTGACAGCTCAGGAGTCTGTCAGGGCTAGAGGATAGAGGCCAAAGTATTGACAGTAAAGTTTCAGGCTGGTCACAGGGCCAACCAGAAGCAGGATTAGCTGGGTCATTTTTGCCCTTTCCTACCATATCCAGAGTAGCTTAGAATCTTGAATTTTGGCCAGACAGTGCCACAACACCACTGTGTGCTTTAGTCTATACCCTTCGAGAACCACGGCGGCCTCGCAGCTTGGAGGGTGGTGGTGCCAACTGAGATTCTCCCAGGTCCAGAGTGTAAGAGGGCGGGGAGGCGGCGCGCATGCTCTTCACCACCTGGATGCTGTCTTCAGCCAGAGGAGGCAGGCCCAGTTCTGCCCGCTTCTGCACTTTGAGAGCCTGCAGATGCTCAAAGCCACCGAGGGTAAACTAAGGGGTAAACAGGACAGGGGCAGAGATGACAGAGGAAGGGAGGGAAGTTAGAGAGAGCAGGGAAGCATGGATGGAGAGAAACAGTCACAACCTCCAGTTCCCCTCAGACTCCCTCCTTAATTAGGAAGTAATAAAACAGGAAGGGGCAAACGTGGTTACTATCCTAGTCTGAGGAGATCCAGGGTCAGGATAAAGCATTATTTAAAGACCCAGGACTGGAAATATCACCAGAAATTAGGAAAAGGACTTGTAGGGGCCACCACTGAAAAAAACAGGAAAATGTATCTCCCTTTTAAGGACCACATCCAGATGCTGCAGTCAAGAGGCAGTGCCCCTTAAGGCCTGTGCTGGAGGGTATGTTGTTCAGCCAGGCCTGTGGGGTGGGAGCCACAGATGAAGGAGCAGGCTGAATAATAAAGATTTCATTTTTTGAAAGCGAATCCTCATCTCCAACTCATAGAGTAGCATCTCTTGTCAGTCCAACAGAAACAGATTGCCTGCTCTGACACAGAACATCTGATTTCTCTAGGACAGCTTTGTTGTCCCTCCATTGGCTAAGAGCTGCCCTATTCTTCTGCCTAACTCCTGCCTCCTGGAACTGGACTAGAAGAAACTGAGGTGGCAGAGAGCACTGCTGATCTGCTAAGACAGGAGTGGGGAGAATGAGCCACTCACCATGACCACCTTCCATAGCAAAAGCAGGACCTTCTTTATGGGGAAGTGGGGAGCCAGGCCGCTGCAGAACTTGGTAACCATGGAGAAAAGCAGAAGGGCAAAAGGCTCCTCATTATGCATGGAGAAGCCTGAGGGATGTGGAGAGAGGCAAGTGAGAAGTGAGGATGAGGTAATTGAAACCCTGCCCCTGTAACCCTGACACACTGAGGAAGGCACTCGCCACCCCTGAAGGATTTGAGTACTTGGTCCTGAGAAGGAGGCTTAGAGAGCAAAGCCCATCATCAAGGGCAGTAAGGTAGGCTATGGAGGTAAAATGGTTTATCTCTGAGAGCCTGGGGTGAATGCCGAATTAGAAGTAACAGTAATAAAGATATTGCTTTCTGGCTGAAAAATCCAATGCATTTCGTGGATCATAACTCACTTTCCCATATCAATGAATAATATATTTTTTAAATCCCCATAGGCTTTCATATCTTATTCCTGTCTGGTGACAATACTAACTTCCATTTGAACAGAGTTCAGTTTTCAAGGTGATTCGACTCATTTTTTCACGTGTGATTTGCAAAAGAATGGGAGAGGGGTGCCTATCCCCATCTAAAACCTAGGAAACTAAGGCATAGAGAAGACATTTGATGGGTCCTAGCTCACAGACACAGGGACAATCAAGACAGGCTCTCATGCCTGCTGTGCAATATCTCTGCCCTAAAAGGAAGGATGTTAATTCTATAAAAAAAGAGAAAAAAGAAAGGTTGTCTGTCCCTCTTAGAAGATATGTTTCCCCTCCACCATCAAGATGGCTTCCCCACCATTCCTCAAGTGTGTTTCTTACTCAGTTCAGTGCGGAAGGTCTCCCGGGCTGTCCTCCACCCGCAGGAGTCTGTCTCTCGCTCCAGGCGGATATTTTCCACCATTAGGTACATGACACTCAGCAGCACCCTGAGGTTACAGAAGGGTCACAAGAGGTACCCAAGGCAGCTCCCAGCCTACAGTCAGAGACCTCAGGGTTGGTCTCTGTGGGGCCCAACCTGGTGGAATTAGCAACTACTAGTGGCCTGGGTATGTCTGGGATTTGGGCAAAGGGTAACCCAGTGCTAACCATCCCCTGTTCTAATCCCATGGCCAGCCCCACTCACCGGAGCTCTGTGCTATCAGCAATGGAGATAGCTGGTTTCCGAAGAGCACTGCTACAGGCCTGGCTGTTGCTGCCAGAGGAAGGAGGGAGAGAACGAGAACCTATAAGGCCTCTTTATTCTGTGTTCCCACTGATCACACACACACAGACATGAGTACCTGCCATTCCCTGGCTATGTAGCTATAAAGAAATTGGCCTAAGGTATAGGAGCCCACGGAATTCCTCTGCCACCTCAGTAAGCCCTTATCTGTGGTAAAGATGGGCAAGGGCAGGGTCTGTGATGTTCACTCCTCTTATAATCCCCTCTGTGCCTAGTACTGTGCTGGACACAACATAGATGCTAAGCAACACTTGATGAGACAAAACTAGGGGTCACTACAGAGGTAGCAGCAAATAAGGCCACCTCTAGAGCTAGAACTCATGAGGGAAAGAATTGGGCACAACTACAGGAATTGGTCCTGTGCCTCTTGGGTCATGTTCTCAGCTAGAACAGTTTTCTCCATGGATTCCAAAGTGAGGCTGAGCTGAGAAAGTGTTTGGCTAGAAAGGCAACCCACCCAAGATATGCCCCTGAAGCCCAAGATTGAAGCCATATGTGGGGCAGAGCAGCTGATGAGGCTAACCTCAGGGAAGAGGACAGAATATCAGAGAGCATGGATGAATGTAGGGGAACTCTCAGTGAGCTTTGGACTGAGGTGCGAATAGACCCAGCTCCCCAAGGAGGTCTCAATAGTAAGGGAACCAGCATAGGACATGAGGCACCCTTCCAAGAAAGGGAGTGTCTAGGCCAACCCTCCCCTAAGGCTTCTCACTCGATTTCCATGTGTAGTAGCTCCAGGAAGGCTGAGAAGGTCCCCATCTGATAGAGCAGGAAGCAGTTGTACCTGGACCAGTGTAGCACATCGACCTCTGAATCACATTCCCCAAAAGTGCCTAAAGGACCAGATAGTGCCATAGGGGTTGAGGGAGAGGGGACATCCCAGTTCTTTCCACCCTGCCCCGTGATCTTATGACTCTCTTCCAACACCCTGCCCAACAATTAGGCTGACAAAGGTAAGGCAAGGCCGCCCAGAACTTCCCAGAATGAGGCTGGGGAGAGGAGAGGCAGACTCCAGGGTTAGGTCCAATGTGCTCATCAATGACCTGTCTTACTTGAGTTCCCTGAGAAGCAGATCCAGAGATGAGAATTCAAGTGCAAATAGTTTATTTGGGAGTTGATTCCAGGAACCATCAGTAGAGAAGTGGGGAAGTTAAATAAGGAGGAGAAGGCAGTCAAGAGCTCAACCCCAGGTTGGGGATAGCTCTGGGAAACAGTATAAAGCACAATTCAGAATCATTGCAGCCAAGAAGGGTGAGGTAGTTGCGCTATTCATCCACTAACTCCTGTCAATGAGTGTTGCTGGACTAGGAGAGCATGTTAATTCTCTGCCACTCCTGGATGCTGCAGAGAAAGCCCTTAGGCAAAATGATGAAGGTACTGGAAGCTGGAAGTTGGCCATAGCACCAGACCTGAGAGATGTGGCTGGGCACTGCCCTGCTCGCTTTAGTCTTCATTCACCCACTGTCTGCTCTTTCCTCTCCATTTATGATTTTTACACTCTTTAGCTCCCAACTAGTTGGTTCAGCCAACAATCCTATTTATGATCTCAGGGATTATTTTCACTACTCCAACTAGGTTATATCATTTCTCTCTCCAACATCTGGTTAATAGGTTTCTTCTCATTGGGTTCTGGTTATCCCCAAATTACTTACAGGATCCACTCCTGCTGCTATGTTGGCTTGAACCTTCCAACAAGAAATAATGCAGAGGACCCATGTGGGCACCTGTGGTATGCCCTTCCCTCCCCTCACTGTTGGAGCCAGGACACGGCTGATGAAAGAAGCCTCCATGCTCAGCTGGTGGTACAACGTCAGCACTGGCCACACTGACACTCTTGCTAGTCTCCAAATATGATTACAGCCCAGGTTAAGGACAAAAGAACTCATCCTGGCATGCCTGGCAAGATAAAGGCCGATTCCAAAGGATCCAGAACAGTACCTACCACCATCTTCTCTTCTTCTTCATAAGAACCAGGTTACTCCTAGCATAGATCCTGATAAGATCTGTCCTTGAAAGGCAGGGACCTTGCTTTCCCAGCATGACTTGCCTCATCCTAATCCTTATAACACCATTTCTCTCCCTAGTCTCCACGCCTCTCAAGTTGGCAAAGGAGGTCACTCACCTTGGGCCAGGTAGAGAACAGCTCGGGCCACCTTCAGTCGCTGATCCCTACTGACCACCTCCAGCCGGTCCAGGAGTCCCATCACATAGGCCTTCTGGGCATCTTCTTCCAACTCCAGCCACTCTTTGCCCTGCACTGGGGTTAGAAGGCCGTACAGATCCAGTGTCAGCTGCTGCCTCCCCTTCCTGGAAAAACTCCTTGAGAGTATAGCTACCTCTGATCTCAGCCCCCTACAAATCCTTGTCTTCAAAAGCTTTCCTTATTTAGCTGAGAAAAAAATAAGGGATGGGAAAAGTAAAGGACCCAAAATGTCTTGGCCTGAACCCACTCTGCGGCCTCATCTTCCTCCACATCCCCTCCATCCTCTACACACAGCCCATACTGTCCTATCTCTTTGCCTTTCTTCAAGGAGTTCTGTCTTCCTACATAAGCAATTCCTATTCATCATTACAGAGCAAATACAAAATTACCTCTTTCCCACTAATGCTTCAGCTAGAAGCTCTGTCCCTCAAGATACTTTTTACTTCTCCCATGACATCTACCATTTTTTCCTTGGCTCTAGCTATTTTTGTGACATACACATCTCCCCTTTGCTACTGCACTATAATCTCTTTGAAGATATGGCAAATTCACCTTCACCCCTGCCTCCTGCATCTCTGGAAAAAAAACAACTACTTACCACACATTTGTTGCATTGAAAATGGAACTGCCACTGACCAAATAAGGGAACAGAGGTCTGAGAGGATCACAATGTGGGCACATGAAACTATTATTAGATGTTATTAAGAGTAAGGCAGAGTTGGAGGCAGGGGTTGAACATTAAAGTCAAGTAGTAGGCTGGGCACAGGTTTCTACCAGGCACCAGGGCAGCAGCCCAGTCCCATGTTCCCAGGCCTCTACCCTTAAGGCTTTTCCTGCTTCTACTCCATGGCCTCTTCACTTGAGATATAGGAAACTCTGTGTCCCATATGCAAGAAGGGATAGAAAAGTTATATGGTTATGGAGAGGATGAAGAAGGATCATACTTCATTTTAGGCTTTTTCTACATCAGGCTGAGAAATCATTGAGGGAAAAAGCAGGTCTCTATGAGTAAGGATCTGGGATCACCTTGAGTCTTGAAATCTTCTTCAAAGCACCTCCTGTTAGTGGTGAATTCCAGGTTTTCAGTGTAGCTATACAATTCTGTGGCATGGAAAGATAGAACAGAGTCACAAACATTCATCAGACCCTTATGGGAGGGGTCTGGAGTAGAGAGGGTGGCATGAAATAGCTAAAGCTTCAACACATTCCTGTGTCCAATTCAATCCAGAGCCAGCTTCCTCCCTTTTGGAGCAGTTAAAAATAGCCACTTGTGTCCCTGGGTGATTAAACCATCAAACCTGTCCTCCTCCTGCCAGCTGGCTGCTATGGCAGAGAAGGCAGGCTTCCACGTTTGGTGAGGGCCAGCAGGAGGGTTGGAGCAGAGAGGGCTTAATGTCATCACTCCTGTTTCTTAGGGCTGCAATCCCTTCTGTTTGTCAACCCAGACTGGGACTACCCCGTCTCTAGGGAAGAGGAGGACAACATGACTCCTGAAAGTTGGAGGCAAAATCCTTGTGCTATTTAAGAAGCCAGAGTGAGGGCTGGAGAATATGTGTTAGATGGTTCTCTGGGGTTGGAGCCAGTTCATTCCCGCCCTGCTGAGTTTCCTCGAAGGGTATAGAAATTTAAGTTCCTGCCCATAGCCACCTGGGTAGAGGCAGTATCAAACCATGTAGAAGCAGCTATGGGTGCCCAAGGGCTGCCTGTGCCCGGGAAAATCTAACTTTGCTGACAGTGATCTCTCAATACAAAATGCAGAGAGCTTATGAGAAATAAAAATGCCCTTTCTGACACACACACACACACACACACACGCGTGCGCACACACACACACACACACACACACACACACACACACAACACATACTCCAGAACATTACACTGTACCCTCATCTTATAGAGGATGAAGAACTGCAGTAGAGAAATCAATAGGTGATAAAACAGATTTTCCCAAAACTCTGTTCCCTGAGACCCTTGCTGGAAATTTAACTAGGTCACAAATAATTCACAAAGCAAGAGAAATTCACTTATGTTCTCATTAGTTGTCTAATGGTTGAGAAATACCCTGTTTGGGAGCCAGAGCTTTTGATTTCTGAGTGCCAGAATCCTCTGGTGACTAGAATCAAATCCTATCTCTGACTCTTAAATTCTTCAGTTATTGGTGGGTAGTGTGGATATATATTTTTGAAGAGTAGAGTACAAACCCAGTCAGAAAAGGGAGCAAGGCTCTTAGGTACTGAACTTTGTTTTTGTTTATTTTATTTTTAAATTTTAGATCATGAACTTTCATCTATATATATATATTA